ATGGGGGGGTGGGGAGGGGCTGCATAGGTGCCCCGCCTGGGCCAGCTCCAGCCCTTTAAGGGGGGGAAAAAAAGCTAAGTAAAGCCCCAGGACTCGCCGCTCCTCGTGTGGCCTCAGGGCTTCAGGTGGCTTGTGCAGAGCCCCCCTCGTGGTGTGGGGCAGTGGGGATTGCCCCTTGCCGGCAGAAATCGTGAGTCTGGGGGGTTTTGGGGTTTTTTCTTAAAGGGTCGGAGCTGGCCCAGGCAGGATACCTGGGGGAGCAAGGGGGGGTCGGGGGCTCATGCAGAGCCCCCCACACGCAGTGGGGGGCAGTGGGGATTGCCCCCTGCCCAGCAGCACTTGCTGTGCTGGGGCTTGTTTAAAAAAAAGTGCTGAGAGCTAAGGTAAGCAGGGCAGCCATTGCTGGGCTGGGAGACTGGGTGGGGCCAAGCCTGGGTGATTCAGGGATTTAGCAGCAGCTGAATCTCCAAATCAGATTCACCTGAAATCGAATTGGGACAGCAGTTCAAATCACCAGATTGAATCGCTGTCCTCTGAATTGGCCAAATCCAAATCCGAAGCGAATACTAGCTGCTTTGTGCAGGCCTACATGATATTATTTTTTTAAGTGTTTTCCAGAATAACTTGCTATGTCACTTCCAGCATGACTTTGCAAGGATAGTTAAATTGTAAATTGTTTTAATGCCCTTGTTTTTAAATCTCCAGTGTGAAGTTCCAGAGGGTGGGCTGGTTCCCAAGTCTCTATACCGGACTGCAGAGGAGTTGGAAAATGAAGACCTAAAACTGTGGACTGAAACAATCTATCAGTCTGCAAGTGTCTTCAAAGGAGCTCCACATGAGGTAAGGGTGCACTCTCCCATTCTGTTTCATCTCAGCCTAGCTGTCTCTAAAAAGTTGAGAACCACTGCACTAGACTTGCAGGACCCCCTGGAAAATGCAGGCTTTTACCTTGCACTTGTTTTTCTTGACTATAGAAAAATAGAGCAGGTCATCTGTTGCAAAGAACTCGGACCACAATTGATACTGGATACCTGTTTGAAATCTCTGGGCTTATCTTATGAGTCATGTGTAAGGTTCTAATAGTACTAATATTGCATGGCACCCTGTGATACCCAGGCTGTGGTACCCTTGTTGAGAATCACTGATGTTTGGGTTATATTTAAAGTGGATATTTGGCTCTTCCCTAGAAACCCCCAGGTAGAAGTTGGAAGATCCAAAGAAACTTTCTTTGACGCTCCGAATAACGCAGGCCAAAACTGGGATCTGGGCCCTTTTGTGTAAATGCTGGGTTTTTTGTACTTTTAAGGAAACATAGGAGACAGGACAATGTACTAGTAGGCTACTTTGTTGCATACCTACACTAGAGGCCCAGCACTGTTGTTAACTTATTAAAATAAAGCTGCTGGTTCTCTCCATATCAGTGGGATGACTTTCCTCAATCTAGATTTTAAACTAGAATCCATAAAGAACTGAGCAAATTAATGCCTTGCCTTTCAAGACTTTTTTTTTAAAGAGTTGATTACTTTAGATGGCTTAAATTTACTTATCCAATGAACTTCTTCATTACTATTTGCTAATTGAACAAATATGTTCTTGAAAAGGGCCCCTGCAACTTGGTTTTCTATCCTTCCTGATTTTTAATAGGTATGTATATGAATGAAAGGGTCTTAAAATGTGTTTTAGAACCACAGGAATTGAGAAATGTCAGTTAGGTCTTTCCTGTTTTTGTTGGAAGTGTCTCTAGGGGATGCAGGCATTTGGATTGGAGACCCTTGGCCCTAACTGAAAAGCTGTACATAGGAAGGAGGATGGGAGATGACTTTTGGGTGTTTCTGCATCCTAAACAAGCAAGGAAAGCACAGCCATTCCATAGCATTTACCTGGCTGGGAAGAAAAACTTTTGAGGGTCTTGTCACAAAATAAGCAATAGGATAAATGAGTAAATAAACTGAATAAAACTGAGCCCAGCAATATTAGCTTTTCTATCCTAGTAAGGATTTTATTTTTCCTCAGCCCATTTCTATCTTCCAATGATCTTCTCCTCTCTCTAGATTCTCATTCAGATTGTGGATGCTTCATCTGTAATTACCTGGGATTTTGACGTGTGTAAAGGCGACATTGTTTTTAACATTTATCACTCCAAAAGAGCTCCTCAGCCTCCTAAAAAAGAATCTCTTGGAGCCCATAGCATTACATCTCCTGGTGGGAACAATGTACAGCTGATAGACAAAGTGTGGCAGTTAGGGCGTGATTACAGCATGGTAGAGTCTCCACTCACCTGCAGAGAAGGCGAGAGTGTGCAGGTAAGATGATTTGATTCTGGTGTTGGAGCAGATTTGCTAAATGTGATGGTTTGCTCCCAAAGTTGATTCCTTGCAAAGAAAGAACAATAGCTGTCATTACTGTCCCCCCCCCCCAATATTTCTTTCTATTAATCAGCCTGACTTACATTCAAGATTGATCAAATATAACACGTAAAACACCCAGATCCAAAAAGTAGGTTTTGCTTTCTGAAATGGGCAAAACCAAACCAGCATGTCTCTGTGGTAAGTTAGAGATTAAAAATGATCCTCACATGCTCTTCAGGCCTCTGCCCTTAGACTGTAACCTTGAACCAATCACTGAGGCCACGACTACTTATTCAGGTGATTTTAAGGATGGGCTGTAGGCACCTAAGCAAACTGGGCCTGGCTGCTGAAGTATTAAACACTGCCACCTCCTTTTGATTTTTAAGCTGTAGATCTTCGGCAACTTTTGAAAAGGAAGCTTCTCCTTCAACATGCCTAACTTGGTGTTTGGCTCTGGAAAATGTTGCCATTAATCTATGAAGCCCAATTTCTTTTTCTGTTGATATGGGGTTGAAGCAGATTTGGCAGCAGCTAAAAAGTGGGGAATTGTAGATATACAGGCAGTCCTTGCCTTCCAGTGTTTCAAGTTGCAAAGTTTTTATTTACAATGTTTATAAATTGACGCCCTGTTTCAACTTTGACGTCAGTTTTGACTTTGCAATGCTTGATCTGATGCAATGCAATGCCACGCCAGCGAACAAGTTCGCTGCATTGCTTATCTCCCTGAAGAACATCCATCCAAACTTCTTTGGACACTTTTTTAAGAAAGCAGACAAGACTCCTGAGAAGGCTCCAGCCAAGAACTTTTCAAAAAGTTGAGCAAAGTCACCTCAAAGAAATCCTTTCAAATTGACATGATTGCTGTTTACAATATAAGTACATTAATGTAGCTATATAACTTATCTATAATTGGTTGAGTATAAAATTCTGGGGTACTTTTGGTGAAAACAGGGTATCGGGCCTTAGTTCAGGAACTAATCCCCCATTTATAACATTGTTTCTTATGAGAAAATTGGTTCCAAGTTACTTTTAGACTTAAGACACAGTTTTCAGGAACTGGTTGTGTTGTAAGTCTGAGGACTACCTGTAGTGCTGGTTGGAATTACAGATTTGAGCACCTAGTCGTAGAAATCAACTTGAAGACTTTGTTTTTTCCCTAGTGATGGTTGAGATTGGTTTAATTGTACTTCATATTTTTACATAAGAAAGGTTAGGAGATTCTTTTTTAATTTTATTAGCTTATTTTAGGCAGGTCCAACTGAACAATGATATAGTGGGCTGACCTAGCAGAAATGTCAATATTTGAGAAGAAATGGGCACATTTGGCATTTTCCTGAATTCTGAAAAATACATTTCAAACTTGCAAACCCTTGACTTAGAGTTCATTTCCATTTGCTGCTGTTTCTTCTAGGGGTCACATGTGACTAGATGGCCAGGCTTCTATATTCTCCAGTGGAAATTTCACAGCATGCCTGCATGTGCTACAACTAGCCTGCCTCGTGTGGATGATGTACTGGCATCTCTACAGGTCTCCTCCCATAAGTGCAAAGTGATGTACTATACAGAAGTAATAGGATCAGAAGACTTTCGGTATGTGTGGTGTAGGTTTGTCAACATCAAGTATTCTCTCTGACTTTCTGCCTTTTTAGCTTGATAATATTTTGGTGCATGTAGCAAGCCAAGTCCGCTAAAGAAAAATTATTATGTACTTTCAATAGTTGTTTTTAATTAGATAGCAAACTGTGAGGACTTTTACCACAGCACAAAAATCTATATAGGTTTGTACATAATGCTTGAAGACACAGGCAGCCTACGAGGCAAGGGGGTGGAGAAACTAGTAATTTTATCTATGGGTGCACTGATTTTAAAGACCTTTTTTTTGACCAGTACCAATGGCCGATTTTTAGTAACCAGCCATATCTGCCAATATAAATCCAATAGCTGATTTACAGGAATGTAGCCCGGCAGCTTGGAGGGCAGTGTCTGGCTCAGCTTCCCCACTGGGAAGAGGCTGGTACAGCCCCTAGTCTTGAGCCTGCAGTGGGCAACCTGCCCTCACCCCATGCACAAATCTGGGGGGGGGGGGCATCTGCCCCCCCAGACAGGCTGCCTGTGGCTTATGGCTCCTGGTCCTGGGGTCGCATTCATTGCCCTGGCTGGACAGTGCTCCACTCACTGTGGTGGCCTCAGTCTTTCCCCACCCCCCTCCGCTTACTAGCTGGACACTGGTCTCCAAGTGGCTGGTCTGCATTCCTGGCCATGTGCACGCTGCAGCTGCACAAATGCATGCGGCGTTTATCGGTGACATCATCTGCTACATTGGCCAAAAAAAGTTGAGATTGCTGATAATGTTAACTTCCTTTTTATTGGTGTTGTTTTCTTTTTATGCGACTGATACTGGTGTACCTCTAATCTAATCTTATCCCAGTACACCAGGGATGGGCAAAGTCTGGACTGTGGGCCGGGTCTGGCTGGTATCCTGACTTTCATTCTGCAGCAGCCCCTGCCCACATTGTGGCCAGTTTCTATGGAGACCCCAGAAGTGGTAGTGCCATGACAGCACGGGGGCAGGGTTTCCATGGAGCCTGCCCCCCAGTGTGCTGGCCGGACACGCAGCTGGTCAGGTAGCTGGGATGGGAGCTCCGGAGATGGGATCTTGTGGTGGTGACAGTGTGATCCAGAGCTGGGTCAGAGCTGTGAACTGCTGCCTGCACGCCCCAGGATCGCTGCAAAATCCCAACCCCAGAGAAACTCCCTACCCAGCTCCACAACCTGCTAGCACTGCTTGGGCCAGTCTTCATGGAAACCCTGGCCCCATACTGTCACGGTGCTGCCACTCCTGGGGTCTTTGTGGAAACTGGTTGCAGGGATGTGGGCAGGGGCTGCTGCGAAATGGAATCTGCCATTTTGCCCACCCCTGCAGTATACCATAAAGGAACGTGAAAAAACTGGGTGGCCTGATCCAGGTCAATATATCTAATGGACAAATTTAGCAGACCTAACAGGCTCCTGCTTACAGAGATTGATGCAAGTGAAGATTTGAAGTGCTTAAATATGAGTGTCTGTTAGCACTCCTAGTTTTGTTTCAACCAATATATAAGCATCTTCCGGATTAGCATTAGATTTTTCCAAAAACACAACTGTCCATTCCTGACATTTTCTGTTGGTTGTGCATACAAGAGTTTTTAAGTGCCCATGCTGAGGTTAGCAAAGAGTTAGGTTTACTTACTTTTTGCCACTTACCATTCCAAGTGGAATAGTAAATGGCAAAGATGCACAGCAGAACTAATAAATTCCTTGTGTTCTCAAACCTCCAACTTCTGTTTTATTGCAGAGGATCTATGACCAGCCTTGAATCAAGCCACAGCGGGTTCTCCCAGCTCAGTGCTGCCACAACTTCTTCCAGCCAGTCCCACTCCAGCTCCATGATTTCCAGGTAGTGCTACAGCAAATGAAAAGCAAACGGATGAGATGGCTGGACCCTCGTCTGTGGCAGCTGACTGTAATGCTGCGTATTCAAGTGGCAAATGCAAAAACAAAAGCCTTTTTTATAGATAGTAAAGTAGCTGTTCAAATTTTAAACTTTGTGTTTTTGTTTAAGTTAGATCTGACAGCTGATCTCTAACTTCAACCCTAACCCTAACTCAGCCATAGATTTTTGTATGCATGCTTGCACAAATCCTAACTTTAAACCACAAGGGCTCTCATGGAAGGAAAGAAATCAATGTCTTGGTTAAGAATTACTTTGTAAACTACTACCTGTATGCAAAAACAAAACAAAAAAAAAACTCCACTCCCCAAACTACTCAGTGTATTAGAAAGCAACAGTAAAGCTCCTGTCAGTAAGTTCCTTGCCACATTATGAAATATCCTGTGATCTTCCAGCTGTTGTTAAACATTCTCCCACGGCCAGTCACTGATATTCAAGGAACTAAAGAAAGCAGTTGTTGGATGCTCAAGATAACCTGGATCACTGATGAGCTACATTCTGTTTTTCCGAGTCACTGCCATGAAGTGGTGGGCAAACTGTTAACACTAATACCTTTTGCATGAACACGTTGTTGGGGGGGTTCCACCTCTGATAATTGAGGGTTTAAAGGCAAATGTGACTCTATTGAATTTAGATTTTTAAGCACTGACAGTGGGGAGGCAAGGGGCAGAGAGCAGGCTCTCCCTCACCACGACCCAAAGGCTGGTCCACATTGGGTCCTGGGGTTTATTCCTTGTTCTGTTTTGGAGTAGCACTTTACCCCACTCCACGTATCTATTACACTTCAAGCACTCATTTTCCTGGCACTTACCTCTTGGTAGATGAACATCTAGTAAACATCTTTCTGAAGCAGACATAGGTTTGCTCTGTAGATCAGTCAGAGGCATGGAAACATCTTCCTGTGCACTGCTTTCTTAAAACTTCTGTCTCTGGCCTTGTGTATGTCGGGGGCGGGGGGGAGGAGAACTATACTTACTACCAGTGACTGTTTTATAATATAGATTTTTTTTTTTTTCCTCCCCCACCAAAGCAATTGGCTACTCAGTCACCAAGGTACATAGAGGCTTTAAATGCTGAGTAAATGCTCTTAATTTGTGAGCTAAAACCCAGCATTCAGAGCATTAATATGTTGTATTGTACTTCATTGCCAAGTAGAATATAAGAGAGTCCAGCTTGGAGCCCCAACATGAGTTGTTTTATATAGACCACTGGTCAGAGGCATTTCTCCTGCTAAGGAGCTGAACTGCTGTACACATGAATAGCTAGTTGAACCAGGATCCAGAAAGAACTGCAATGGCCTTACTTGAGGCATGAGAAAAATCAGCTGAATTGTTGCACTGTAAGAGTAGGAATTTAAAACGATGCCAGGCTGCCCTACTTTGGAGGAAGCTGGACCTGTGGATTTGGTATAAATACCTCTTACTGCACAGCACTAAACCTATACAGTATTGGTTACACTGCAGTGGGGAAATGGCAAACTGATGTTGATATGCAGTATGTTAAGCTCCATCCTGAAGCACAAGTCATGAAAGCCAGTCCTGATGTGGAGTGTTGCTAATGAAGTTGTGATGAAAACTCATCAACAGGGGGAAAAATAATCCCACTGCACTGAACTAGGAAACTCTTCTAATCAACTGTATTGTTTTAAAAAGTAGCAGTTTTGATAGCCAAAGTAACAGCCAAAATGTTGGCAAACTAATCTTGTAGAAAACTACCATGCAGGTGTTAAATAGTTCCACGCCCAGAAACTGTACAGCTTATGCACGACGGTCTCTCTTGTACTGCGAGCATAAGCTGTCTGTCTAGTAAGAACCCGGCTTCCTGATGTACGCTTGAAGGGAGAACTCCATTATCGGCAGGCAGGAGCCAGTGTTCCACACACAGGAGTTAATGCCTGTAAAGGCACCGTAGGATTAACTAATCTGGTGACACTTAGTTTTTTCCAAAGGGCACCTCCCTTTTTCCAAGTTATAAGGGCTCTACCTTGAAGCTGGTCCCCTCTTTTTCTCTCTCTCTTTTTTTTTTCTTTCTCTCTCTCTCTCTCTCTCTTTCTCTCAGATGGCGATTTTGCTGACAGCTGTAAAGAAACTACTTCATTCAACAATCCACATCTGTCCAGAGGTGTCTGGCTTTATAGACCTTTTTGACTTGCATTCACTTTTCAAGTCTGAAGATGTATCTCTTTTTTTTCGGTTGGCTCAAAAGTGGCAATTGTGCGGGTCATTTTTTTTTCTCTTGCCCTTCCCCATAAGTCTAATGCATCTTTAAGAGCTCAAAGCACATGACAGCACAAACAGTTAAGCTACCAGAGAAACGAAATTCAACTCTTCCTAGTGAAGTGCTATGGCAAATATGACTTGATTATGCCGTTTGAAGTAGACCTGATGAATTTCAATACCCTTGACTTTTTAATGTGGGAACACTGTTCTTTTCTGCCAGCAGTGACCATCCTGTTGACTTTTTATCCCTGCATTACTGGTCTCCTTTCCATAATCCTGTCTGTATTCATGAATTGCATATCCAATTCTGTAAATGTTTTGTAAACATATTACCTCACTCTTGGTAATGAGATACTGATAGTCTTTAAAAGATTTTTTTTATTGTTATCTATAATAAATGTGAACTGGTTTAAAAAAAATCCTTCAGGTTTTTTTCATTTGTAGCCTGGTTCAGAAAGGTGGGACTGCGGAGCGTGTGGAAACTGTTGAAACTTGTGTTCTAGCTCTGAGGGGCTGTGCAGTGTTACTGAGAGACTGACAAAAATCTAGCCACCAGTGTTACTATTTAGCTTTGTCATTCAGAAACGCGTTATCTGAACATGGTTTAAACAGGGGTGCTCCACTTCCAGCCTGCAGGCAAAATCCAGCCCACAGAGCCCCTGCATCTGGCACATGGGGCTTCCTAGAGTCCAGAGATTTGGCAGCAGGGGAGCAGTGGCTGTCCTCCCTGCCAAACTCCCAAGCCCTATGTGGCTCATTGGGACTGGACCCCACTCCCTTGCCCCCCTGTGGGGATGGATGCACTGGACTGGCACCAGAGCTAGCCTGTGGATGGACTGGGTACTGCCCAGCTGACCCACCAGGGGAAAAGGTTGAGCACCACTGGGATAGAATATATAAAGTTAATCCAAGGTATAGTGGGAAGGTTGCCTTTTCTAAAAAGCAGGGGTTTGGCTGTGTTGGTCCCTGACAGAAATTGAGTTATCAGAGGAACTGGCAAAAATTTTTTCTTCTACAATACAAACTACCCATTCCTTCTCCCTGTCTGGGAACAGGCGAGAGATACTAAGACGATTAAATCTAGGCCTCTGGAGGCTGATACATTTGGGATGTGATTTAATGTATTAATCACTTCATAAATTGTAACATGCCACATGTGCAAGCTAGTTATGGCATGACAAAATAGCAAACCGGCCACACAGATTCTTCAGGATGTTTAATGTGGACCATCTTGATGGTGGTTTGGTATTGTGCATTAGTTGCAATGTGAGGCATGCTGAAGCCAAACCGTGCAGCCCTCTGCTTCGTGGGTGCTCAGTGGCAGGGTGGGAGGGAGGTGGGGGAACTGATGGGCTCCCCCAACTCAGTAAGGTCCAATCAAAGTCCAGGGTTCAGCTTCAGAGGTGCTGGGGAAGGGGGACAGTTCATTCCCTCCCTCCTGCTTAGGAAGTTTATACCTGTATGCCAGGCAGTCCTGCTCTGGCTGCCCCTGCCCAGCACCTACTCTTGCACAAAGCAGCCCCATGCAGGGCTGAACTGGACGCAGTTCTAAAATTCCCTGGGTAGGAGAAACTGATTGGCTCCCCCCGATACGTGTCAGTCTACGCATCAGGCAGCCTATGCAGGGCTGCATGGGATGCAGATTTAAAGTTGCTGGTATACGTGGAGCCTAAATTGGGGTCCTGGGATGCTAGTAAGTAGAAAGGGCCCCAAAGGAAGTGGCACCAGGGACTAGTCCCTTAATGCCAGGCTTCATGGGCCAGTACTCGCATAGTTGGCAACTGTCCCTGATCCTAAAAAAAAAAAAAAAAATCG